GGTTAGATAGATTTTGAAGTCAATAATGTTTTTTTTAATATTGATAAAAACACCAATTTCATATAATGGCAATTAATGACATTTCTGTGAAAGTAATGCATTACATTACAGTTTTTTTGTAATTGAAAAATCTGTGCATTACCCATTACATCCCATTTCTTTGAATAAATATAATGATTACAATGCATAACCATTATAAGTTACTATTGCCCAACAGATCTGACTATTGGTAGCATTTAATTTTCACGAAAGGGTAATCCATTTTAAGTCAGCACTTAAATTTCACAAAGGAAACTAAGTGTATATAAATGTATATAGATAATGTCATAATACAGTAATCTTCTCGCGTAAGTGTTTGCCTCCATTGAATATGGATAACTAATGAAGAATCAATAATTATTTCCAGTCAATGAAAGAGAGTTCGATCTACCCTACATATACTGGAGTCCTAAACTAAAAATTAAAAAAAATCATTACAAAGAAACATACATTGACTGATCCAGCAAATGCTCACCAAGCCCCTATCTTTACTCTTCATAAAAATATTAACTGCTGTAAAGGAGAAGCTTCAGAAGTACTGTGCTACAGCATATTCTAGAAATGGTGTAAATCAAATGTGAATTCTTAAAAACTTCAAAAAGCTTTTAAAGAATTTAAAATCACAAAATTTTTCAGAAGTTAGTAATATCAAAACGTATAACTTTCCTACACTTTTATACAACCATTCCTCACGATTAATTAAAACCAGGCTTTTTAATATCACAAGCAACTGCTTCTTCGAAAAAAATTGAACTGGGGAATTTTTATATCGTGTGATTGTTCATCAACAAAATTACTTCGTTATAAATCACTCTGACTCTAAACTCAAGTACTCTGCAGTTGATATTTAAAGGATGCTGGAGTCCCTTATTGACAATATCTATGTAGTCTTAGGAGACCAGATATTCCAATGTTGGAATTCTGAGGGTCACTAACTATGCCTTTAGCTCCTATAAGAGATTGTTCTATTTGACGTATCCGTATAAGTATCCGTATCCGTATACGTATCGAGGTGAGAGAGGCATCTCGATCCCGATGTCTAAATTATTTACTATAATTTCCATCGTTATTTGTTTGGTTTTAGAGCAGTCCCATTCATTTAAGAATAGCATATGGTATTTTTTCTAATAAAAATGTATTAAGCTGCTGTAAAAGTCTGTCATTTCGCTGGAATTTTTTTTAAAAAATAGATAATGAAATTAAATAAATTTGTATTTCTTTTCAATATATTGTTTAAAACATTAATTGCAATTTTGTTTAAAAACATTTATTGGGATCCCCCTTTCTCCCTCTTAACATCATTTTATTGATTGATTCTGTAATTTACATTAGATGACATAAAAGTTACCCCCACCCCCCCACCCCCCCAACACACTAAAATGCAAAAGACTTTAATATCCACACAATCAATAAAACCGTGTAGCTGTTTTCTAAAGAGAATTCGCTTCCAGACCCTTACCAGTATATGCTTAAAAATGCCAGCCCCCCCCCCCCCCCCGGGAACACACACAAACTTTCATAGTGTCTGTTGACTTTCTTCATTCTTTTTTTCAATGAACTATTTGACAAATACCTGTATATCTCCCCTACCCCTCCCCAGTTGAAATTGCTTCTTTCGTGCCTATTCTCATACGGCTTGATTTTGCTTTATATTTTGTCCTTTCAGCAGTATTAACTTGAAAAGACTTCATGGCGACAAAAAATAGGTAATGAAATGAAAATGCAATTGTTAAATTTATTTTTTCCTTTTAGTTCTCTTGTTATCGTACATGTGTATTATAATTCATGGTTTGATATAGAAACTGTTTCATAATAGGGTATTCATTATCTTAACTCTCTTTTTATAAGAAAGAAAAGAACATTAGGCTAAAAAATGAGAAAACAATAGATTTATCTACAATGTATTTCTTCTATGCTACCTTTTTCATCCAGCTGATTTTAATTTCTTTTTTTTCTTATTTTTATTTATTTACTTATGCATTTTGGCCCAGATCGGGACAAGTGCGAGTCAATTCAACATGCAGTTTATAGAATTAAAGAGAAGAGGCTGCTTCTACGTAGCAGAGAAATAAAAAAACACAGAATAAAGGATAAACTTTATACAAAACATTTAATTGATAAAGTATCAGCATTTTTTCAGAGTTTTGGTCCCGCTTGTACACAAAGAATTACAGTCATACATACTTTTTTTTACTAATTTTATTTTTTTTTAAATCCTCCCATAAAATGATAGGTGTGAACAGCAACTTGATACGTTTCATTAGAAATATTACTATATATCTTATTTTCCAATGAATGAGGTTAAAATCAAACAAGAAACGATAGAAATGTTACCCAACGGTTAAATCATCGGGATCGAGATGCCTCTCATACCTCGATACGTATACGGATACAGATACGGATACGGATACGTCAGATAGAACAATCTCTATAAGCGGATGTTTTTCATATTCCCATGAAACAGAATTTATTCAACAATTTCTATAAGAGAAGAAGGGGGTTTCAACTCAACATTCAGATTAAGCGACATTTTATCAATTAACAATAGTTACTTTCATTCATATGCACATGTCGACTCTACATATCCCTGTGAACTTAAATAAAGGACACCACAGAGTCTGCCACATCTGTTTCATATTTTAATGTTTTACTGACTATAGACGATAAGACTAAGTAACAATTAAATTATATGACAAAGAGATGACCAGCTTTTCGATTGCGATCGTTAACTTTCCTTATTTAGATACTTAACCTGCATATGACGTTTATTCGATACTCAAGAGCATGCTACGAGGTTGATCAGCTTTTAAACTGAGACAGGCTACTGACAGATAAGTTAATGTTACAGAGAATTCAACAACTTCGTTAAAAGTCAGCATCTCGTAAATTCTATGGTCGTTATAACCACCTTTTTTCAGCAAATACTATCTATCATTGGGTCGTATTTTGACTGACATATTTCATACCAATTGTTAGGCCTTTGTTTTTATACTAAATTTGACTCAGCCTATAATGACATTATACCCCGTTTAATCCTTTATTCCCCCTCAATCGTCTGTTAGGGGAGGAACCCAAGATCCCTTTCTACTTTTTTAATGTCACCTGTTATTTCAATTCTTAGGGGACAACCCTGAGTCTGAAACTAAAGAATTTAATGAATCATGAAGTCTGTTTAAAAAAGAAAAGAAAGAAAGAAAAACGTTTGGAAAGGGTTTTTGTAAATTTTTAAAAAAGAGATTGGTCCCCAATTAGCCTACTGTGAAGATCTTTTTAGAAAAAAATCCGAAACCCTATTGCACATCTACAGGATATCTCCAGTCAAATTCCAAGGTGCAATTTGGTTACTTGAATAAAGTTCTTGGAACCAGTTTTTTTGTATCAAAACATCATTTTCCCACCCCAGTTAGCCCCATGGATGAAAATGAAAATTCCTAAATCTTACAGCACGTCTTTAGGTCACTTCTAATCATATTCCAACAGATGATATGGCTATATATCCCTAACAAAAAGTACAAAAAAGTATCAAAGTTTTCACTATAGTAAATCAAAGATTTAGAAAAAATGAAAAAAAAATTACAAATGATAGTGGTTGTTTGAAGAAAAGGATTGCCATCTCTGTTATTTAAATTTGCCCTGTCTTAAATTTGTCCTCTTGCAAAAAGAGCAAGAGGGCCAATAATCATTAAAAAATCAATTAAAAGTTCAGAAGAAATGCTTGAACAGCAAATACAATCTATCATTAAGTCGAATGTTTCATATGTCAATCATTTTTGTTCTCGAAAACTTGATTTTGCGTTATTACACGAGAGGTGCTGCTCACGAATTTTCATTCTCGCGTATATTTTCATTAGTATAGGTTATATACAACAATACCCAGAATTTGGTGATCTATAATACAAATTGTTAGGCCATAATTTTTACATTGAATTATCTACGGAATTCCCCATTTGCCCGATCGTGGCAAGGAGCACACGATAGGCACACGACGGGTGTGACCCGTTGACAAGGGATGCTTATACCTACATGGCACGTGATACCACGTCTGATGTTTTTAGAGGTCAGTGTTTGCTTTGCTCCAATTTTTTATGGTTTCAATGGACTTTTCAGCTTGAAAACTGCTCGTTTCTTCATATTTCATAATCTACTACAAGTATTATGCGAAAGTGTTTTGAATAAACAAAACCATGAAAACCTTTAACATAATAATGGGGAACTTCTCAAAAGAATTTAAAATTAGGCATATACTTCTTTATTTATTTTCCATTAAAAAGCTACACCCTTTTTGCATATTATAGCAGTGTTCATTTATCAATGAAACCTTCAAAAAGCTATCATGATGGTTATTATAGTTTTTATTGTTAAAAAGTAGGAACTGCCTAACCATACACTCACATATTTCATTCTAGTCAGTGAGTACATAACAATTCATTGACGTGGAAACTAAAACAAGGGGCCCTTTTTATCGGTAGTGTTTTTAGAAGCATTTCATTCTTGTATAGTGAGAACTATTGTTAGAAGTCCTCTATCTGATAAATGAGACTGATACAAGAGTTAGTCATCTTAGAATGTCTTACGGGATCCTTCAGTGCTTAACAAGAGAATGAATTTACCGGCATTTTTCAAAGAAATTGTTAATATTTGAAGAGTACTTAGTTGAAAGATTTTAAGGTCATTAACTGCACTCTAAGACACACAGTAAAAACTTGGTTAATCCAATTTCACTTTACCTGTCAGCACAAAAGTTAACGATGTTAAAAAATGGCGAAGAGGGTTTTCTTGGATGGAGAACCATTCAAAAGTGAAGAATAAAACAGTCTTTATGTGTCAGTGCTTTTTGGGCGATAAACAAATCACATTTACACCAGAACCCGTATCTCGGAACAATAAAACTCTTAAACTACGATTTAGATGGCTGAACGAGATTACCCTCACCCCTGCTGGGGCTGGCTTACACGGTTCCTTTGCTCAAATTCTGGCAAGAGCTTCGCAAGATATTGCGTAAAATTGTCTGTCTTCATTTAAAAACACATGTTTCATTCAGGACATTGATTGCTTTGGTTTTTTTGAATTTCAAAAGACTGCTTATTCTTAAAATGTGCATTGCTGACAATGCATTTAAGTTTTGAACTTGAAAATGAAAGCTGATTTTATCATGAATTCTCTGCTTCAAATCGTCTGTATTTTGGTAAGTTCTTTTTTTTTTCTATTGCTGGTGCACTCTACTAATTTTTTTATCATAAGCCTATAAAACAATCAACCTTTATACGTGTGAAATGAATTTTAAATATAATTTTATTGTTTGTTGTCAACCGTCAAATTTTAATTTTAGAAACTAATGCTAGGAACAAAAGCCATTTCTGGTATGTACACCTTAAAAGTATCCAGTTCAAAATTACTTAAAATAATTTGGAATTTTTAGAAATAATATATTTGAACTCTTATATCAGAAACTGAACTAAAGTTTAACAGTGGTTTTTCATATTATACTAGTATTTTATTTCCAAAAGTTAATGAGGGTATAAATGATATCAACTAAGACTTATCTGACTTTGTTAAATTCTGTTTATTTTCTTCAGAATACCGTAACACTAGTTGCCTGCAAGAACAACACATTCTCGATACCCCGTTTATATCTAGCATCAGTGGGAAATTCGTGTCCAATCTCTCATTTGAACCACTGGACAACTGGACAGGTTCTGAAGGTCATAAAGGAAGGGGGAATCCATGGGATTTATATATAACCATACCACTGAACACTGGCTCCTTCACCCTGGAACTTTATAAACAGAACATTCACACAAGCCGGCGATACAGAGAGTGGACTTCCGGAAATATCACATACTCCAAGACAGTACTGGACGACTGTTACTATCAGGGATCCGTTATTGGTCAGGATAGAAGCTTCGTGGCCGTCTCTCTGTGTGAAGGATTGGTATGAAAAAGAAACATATTGTCATGCATTACAAATAGGTTCTAGGTTTACTAATTATACCCCCGCTCCGAAGGAGAGGGGGGTATACTGTTTTACCCTTGTGTGTCTTTCTGTCTGTCTGTGTCCGTGTGTCTGTGTGTCTGTCCGTAACTAATTTTCGTCGCAGTTTTCTCAGCACTTACTCATCAAAGATGCTTGAAATTTTAGCACAATCTTTGTTTAGGCATGCCATATGATCAGATTCATTTTTGTACGAATCCGATGTCAACTTCCTGTTTATCCGTGCGTCTATCCATAACAAATTTTTCGTTGCAGTTTTCTCAGCAACTACTCATCACAGATGCTTGAAATTTTAGCACAATCTTTGTTTAGGCATGCCATATGGTGGGATTCATTTTTGTTTAAATCTGACGACAACTTCCTGTTTATGCGTGCGTCTGTCCATACCAAATTTCCGTCACAGTTTTCTTAGCAACTACTCAGCGAAGATGCTTGAAATTTAAGCACAATCTTTGTTTAGGCATGCAAAATGGTGGGATTCATTTTTGTATGAGTTCGATGTCAACATGAAAGGGTAACCGTATATTCAAATCAGAGCGGGGGTATTACTAGTGAGCATTCGCTCACAGACTTCTTGTTATTTTTGAAAGACTTGGCATAAAACATAGTAAAATGTTGATAATCTTGCCGATTACAAAATATATTTCAGAAAATATATAATTTCGAAGCTTTATTGAGTTTTATCTTCGCAGAATGGCTACATCCAGACAGAAGACTACGAAATTTCAATTGATCATCTGAAATCCAAAGAAGACAGCAATGCACCGACACATTATATAAAACTGTGTTCCATTCCAAAAGGTGATCTTAAACTTAATCAGATTTGATTTTAAACTCCTTAATTTCTTCTTATTTTATTTTGTATTAAGAACTTTTTTCCAAACAGATATTGGACGTATGCGGCCAATCGAAAGACACCTTAAAAGGACAAAAAGGCAAACAAACGGTGGCAGGAAATATCTGGAGGTCCTCATTGCAGCAGATACAAGTGTCACAGCCCTAGTGGGCAAAGACAAACTGGACACCTATCTACTAACTCTAATGAACATTGTAAGGCACATGACTTGATCTAAATAGGCAAAGCAAAACGTGATTGAAGTATTGATGTTCAAAGGAGTTGAAGGCAATAATTTAATCATAATATTGCATTGCAGGTGAACAGCATATATAAACACAAAACTTTGACTGTTGATATAGAAGTTATTACTGTTAAAACTCTGGAGACTGACAAACAAACGGTAACTTTTTACGACCCTTTTATGCATGTGGTGGGATTTTTATCCATGTTCTAATTCGCAAAGAAAATTTTTAATTTTTATGATGCTGTTTTGTTCATTTTTTTAAAAATATTTGTCACGTGATCAGGAGAGCGATATAATTTCCCGTAACGATGCCAGAAAAACTGTGGATAACTTCTGTAGATGGACAACTAAACAGGCTTACAACAAAATGAACGGCAATGGAGGATATCATTTTGACGTCGCTGTACTTCTAACGAGAACTGGGATAGGCCCTGCAGGTAAAAATTTATTTAAATCTTAATTAATACCTAAATAATCAGTAACTAAATAAGCAGTAGAAAGTAAGTCATTCTATAGTTAATTGAAGAAATTTACCAGGTACTGAAAAATGAGTTTCTTAGAACTTACATATTTTTTATTTGGAAACATTGAAAAAAATGAATAGGAACCATATAGTTATAAAAGAAAGACATAGAATTACAGTATTGCAAAATAAAAGAAAATATAATGCTTGTTTAATTGTGCAGAGACGAAACGTGGATGTAATTGTTCATAAAAAAAGGATAGGTCATACTACGTTAGAATTGAAATAATCCATTTGAAATGCACTAAATTCTTTCCAGTTACCAAGCGAATGTGGGTATATCACCCACGGCGAGGATACCGGCTTAGGAATATCACAAGGGTGATAAAAGTTGAGAAACCAGTAGACTTTATTTGATGTTTTATTGCGTATTAGTGTGCAGCTGCTTGTGGTGTGATAGATTAATTCTGTAATTATTGACTGTGTATGCAAAGATGCAAGGATTTATCATTTTGAAGAAGATAAAAAAACATTTAGACCGTAAAGAAAGATATCGATGGTTTATTAATTTTACTTTCAATCTGATAAATCCTTTTCCACAACCTCCCATGAAGTCAATAAAAGCTTTATTGTGCGAGTACGTAATTTACAGGAGAAAATTATAAACAAATTATATTAGCTTTGCTTGCAACAACTCTGTGTTTATTTCAAATGTAACTTACAATTTCATTCTATAAAACTTCTCTCAAAATGAAAAAGTTATCTGTTTTATCTGAAACATTTTATCTGTATACGTTTAATTTTGTTTTACCACATTCTATTAATCAGAGAAAAACGAGTGAGTACTTTTCCTATAGAATTCCCCTAACTAGAGACCTTGACTTTGTGTTGTGCCTCTTGTGACTGATTTTGATATTTGCTCTTAGTAGAATTTTGTTGTTGCTGAAAATTTATTTTTTGTATTAGAGTAGGTAAATTCTGGCATGTTTCCAAATGTGCGATTATAGGGTGACTGTCATTAAATTTGAGACTATTACACGTTATTAAGGAAAAGCCACTTAACCAAAGTTAATATGTTACGTACAGGTTACGCCCCAATCACTGGGATGTGTAACCCAAGCCGAAGCTGCGCTGTGGTGAAGGACGAAGGTTTCACATCAGCATTCATTATTGCCCACGAGGTGGCTCATGTGTGAGTTCATAAAACTGTGCATGTATATTCTTTATAGAAGTGTTTTGGGAAGAAAATCTCTTTATCATTGAAATCAGAATTTTGTTTATGTGAATGAATTTTGTTCAAGTCGCTAAAAATATTTTAAACAATTGTATTAGTACAGAACGATTTAAACTGTATTTAACGAAAATGATATAAAAGTATGATTTCCTAAATTGACTTACCAATTTCCTACGTATAATTTAGTACTTTTTATCTGAATAAAACTTGATTGATCAATTATACCTAGCTAACTGTAAAAAAATGCAGTGAATACTTTTTCAACCAACTTTTTTGTTGAATTCTTCAAAGATTTGGATTATTTCACAATGGTCACGGTAACACGTGTTCTGGTCGTCAGTATGAAACAAGTATCATGAATGCTATGGTGAGATCAAATCTACAACATTACTGGTGGACAGACTGCAGTAACAAGAAAATGAAAGAAGTCATACCGTGTGTATATTTGAAAATACAAAATAATGTACTTTTAAATAAAAACCACTGGCATTCGTTTTCGTTTTACAAACCAAGGGTAAATTAGGTACACGTATACTCTAGTATACATGTTTACTTGGGGGACGTTTGCTGGGGTTGCGAATATAATGTACATATCACATATCATGACCGTATTAAAGAGTTAAAATATATATTTTTTTCATAAATAGGTCACTGACATGCTTGAATAACAGACCATCTACATCAACATTTGTTGAACCACCTCTAGGAAAACAGTTCTCACTCTCGGAGCAGTGTCGTAACGAGTTCGGGGCCGGTAATGTTCTATGTCAGCGGGTACGTTCTTTTGTAGGCTTAAGATAATCCATCGCCTAGCACAGGAGAATAATTAAAGTGAACATTTTCATCTCACAGCGAAAGCTCTTACAATCAGAGTCCTTATACATGCCTTCAAAGTAAAGACTTCATTTAAGTCTGATTTGCAATTGTTCATTAAAAATAAACATATACATTACACTTTAAGCCATGTCTGATTCATCTTTAAATCTGTTTATTGTTTAGTTTTATGGAGATATATGCGCGATGCTGTGGTGCTCTGGTCCTGGGGATCGAGGGAATGGAATGTGCAAGACCAAGCGATCACCTCCTCTAGAGGGGACGCCATGTGGACCCGAAAAGGTACGACTTTTTCTGCCTATTTCAAACATAATATTCTTAACATTGTCATTGACATGTGATTTTTTGACTTATACCAGGCTCAGGGGCCATAAACGTAGATGAGCTAAGTTTTGATTTCAGTCTTATTTTACCAAAGGAATTCATAGTGAAAAAGTGAGGTTGAGCTCTAAAAAGAGCCTCGGACACATCGGAGCAAGATCTCAAGCACTTCTTTTAATATTTCTTGTGTATTGATTACATATATACATTACACATTATGCGGGGTGTGTCAAAGCAAGCTTAGAAAGTATTTCTTCTCTAGCATTGTGAAAACCATCGTTGTGTTTATTTCGGTCATCACACACCTGTTAACGGAGGTTGGAGCTCCTGGGGAAAATGGACCTCGTGTTCGTCTGCTTGTGGTGTTGGGTTACGTCAAAGGACACGCGACTGCACTAATCCAGAGTAAATATATTCAAGTATACCAAATGAAATTATTTTCTTAGCATTTTATTTTTAAATTTAAGATTAGCTATGTTAGATGAACATAGATATTTAAAATGAATATACATGTGAATGCAGACCTAAGTATGATGGAAAAGAGTGTACCGGACCGAGCGACGAGATGGATACTTGCAAATCTACAGTAAGTATTGAATATTTAAAGTCACTTACCCGAGACTGCAACCTTTTAGAAGAATCTGCCAGTAAGAAATGTCTGTATTTCAGGATTGTACCTCATTTACAGATGTTCGTAAGGTACAGTGTTCCATGTTAGACTCAATGGGAGTAAGGTCTGGACAACATCACTGGATGCCATACCAAGTCAAGGATCGTAAGATCATTTTATAGTCAGTTTCAATATGATGAGGTGATGCTGTGGTCTTCAACTCAGTATTCAGATATATCAACGACGTTTTATCAATTAACAATAGTTACTTCCATTCATATGTCGACTTGATATATTCCAGTGAACTTGAATTAAAAGACATCACAGAGTCTGCCACATCTGCATGCTTCATATATGGATATTTTACTGATATAGAGCTTTTCCACCGTCAACTTTACTTATTTATATAGTAATATTCCGCTTTCACCTGCATATGGTATCCCAACTTGTTCGATACTGAAGAGCATAATCTGAGGACAGTCAGTTTTAAACCGAGGCAGGCTACTGACAAATAAGTTGATAGGTCAGGGATATCAACAACCTTGATTCTAGCTTTGAAATGTTTTGGGGTCTGTTGTTTGTAGGTTTTTTTAAAAACCATTCACTGTTCATTATATCTTCACCTATTTCAATCTTCATGTATATATGGATGTCAAAGGAATTTTAAAAAATCACAAAAACAGCCTATGACAAGTTTATTTTGCACGAAAAACAATTCAACACCCTTTCCTATTCTTTTCTGTTGTAGCTGAGAAATTGTGCGTCCTGTCATGCGTTTCCAGTCTTAACGGAGAAATTGCAACGTTTGACAACATTCCTGTGGATAATGGCGTCCCTTGTTCTTATGACGATCGAAGTAACATCTGTGTGGACGGAAAATGCATTGTAAATAGTATTTTATTACAATGTTCTTCACTTTCCATTTAATATGAGAATAAATCCATATTTTTATCTTTTAACAAAGGATGTAGGCTGTGACGGGAAAATGAATTCCACGGCCAAGGAAGACAGATGTGGAATATGTAAAGGCGATGGCTCTCAGTGTAAAACAGTGAAGGGAAGATTCCACAAAAAATTCAATGCAGGTAGAAAGAAAAAGTTTTCGTTCTTGTAAGATGGATAGAATTTTTATTGAAAGGAAATATTGTTAAAAGATACGAGTGTACTAGTATAAACAGATGAATTGATGGAAGAATAATAAACCTTGTGTAAACAATGTTAATTAACGTATTATTTTAGGTTAATATTATTGATTAAGTGTATTATCATATTATCTTGGAACTGTCTGTGTATTAGTATATTATACAATATTTATACAAATGAATATATACTTAAAAAAAGATGTGAGTGTATGTCAATATCTGTAATCAAGATTAAAATTTCAACGTTGTGTGTTCCAGCCCAAACAGTCTACGTAGATTTACTCTTACTACCAAAAGGGGCGAGGGACATCACAATCAAAGAGCTATCTACAGCGTCACATTTTATCGGTATGAATATGAGTCGCTGCAAATTTATCCTTATTTTTGAGAATAAATATTAAACAACCGTTTGATTTTTCTCTCCGTATAAAGCTCTTCAGAACCCTAGATATGGCACGTATATCTTAAATGGCGGGCGTTCACGTGGTCCATCACGTGAGTTTGCCGCAGCTGGAGCTTGGTTTGTGTACAAGAACAGCTATCCAGAAAAACTTCAATCAAAAGGTCCAATTCAGAGCAGACTAGAAGTCTTGGTGAGAAACATTCATAAATTTAATATGGCAAACTACCAATTAAGCCCAATGATAAACATTTTTTGTGAAGTAAACGATTTTTATGCATTGCTACAGGTATTTCCGGGTAATAGAAATTCTTATGCATCCTACGAATACCACTACACGATTTCAAAAGACGATAATACTCATGAAAAAATGATGTATTACTATAAGTACGAAGGGTGGACGGACTGTTCCGTAACTTGTGGAACAGGTGATTATAGATCATAATCTATTTTATTAAATCTGAACTGAGATTAACAATAAACTTATGTATATGAAAAGATATTTCTCTTTTCCAGGTGAGCAGAGACTTATCTATGGCTGCTACAGTAAAGAAAATGACACAAAAGTGGACAGAGAAAAGTGTCAGTACTTGAAGGACCCGACAGGAAAACCGCATAAATGCGACAGAATTGCGTGCAGAGCTCATCAGTGAGTAAAATAAATGTGTTTATTTACACATGTAATTGTATGAAAAGAGATTAGAGGTTTAAAAGATTTAAACAAAAAAAAAATGCTCAAGTACATTGAAACATTGGATTTCTCCTGAAAAAGGTTCAAAGTTACAAAGAGGTAATGATGAACATAACAAACTATTCTAAGGTGATATTGATATAACTGATTTTATCATCCTGAATTAAAGGATATAAATGTTCTAATAGAGACTTATTTTCCTGCCGTTAAAGTAAATAATTTGTCTGAGGTCAGGAATTATACTTCATAGCAAACATCAAGCGAGTTAATCAGAATTGGAAATGAAGTCTGTATACGACTTTCTATGATGGTAAAAATGTTGACCGTATTGTATGAGAAGAAGAATGAGAAAAAAGAAATTTCGGGCAAAAATACAAATTCTAAAGTCGAAGACAACTATTTTGAGGATTTTTTTGTGGAAACAAAATGTTCCCGGGTTACTTATGTTTAATTGCAAAAATTGAGGTTCATTTTCAAGTGCATTAAATGCATTTGAAGTCAACCTTTGGTAGATTCTTGACTTTTATCTTTTAAGTATATTTTTAGGTTTAGGTGGGCAATGCTAAATGACTGGACAGACTGTAATGAAACCTGTGGTATAAATGGCGTACAACATCAATTATACACTTGTGAAAAGGAGACAAATGGCAAGATAGAGGAGGTAGACTTGTCCTTATGTGACAAGGTTCTTCCCCCTCCAACATACTCCCGAGCTTGTAACAGGGTCAGGTGCCAGGAATATATCTGGACAGACACAGGAAAGTGGGGTGACTGCTCAAATACTTGTGGTAGCAGTGGTGAAAGAACCAAGATATATTACTGTGCAGACGATTCGAAGAGAAAAGTAGATGACACAATGTGTGAAGGTGTTAAACCAAAGAAAACCACGGAGTGCAATAGACAACCTTGTATAACAGAATCATACAAACTATCACCCACGAAAAACTGGGGACCTTGTTCAGCCACATGTGGTGAAAACAGGTATCAAACTAGGTTGAAGGAATGCGTTCTGGTAAATTCTAGAAATGAAACTGTAAAAGTGACTATGTCAAAATGTTCCGAATTTCAAGAAGAGGATGAGATTCGGCCATGTAGTTATGTACCGTGTTATCAGGCCACTTACGATTGGCTGTTAGTCAAAGACTGGTCTACCTGCTCACATGAATGTGGAGAAGAGGGTATTCAACATCAGTTGTACAGATGTTTCGATGTGACATATGAATATGCCATGAAAAACGTAGAGGATGACTTTTGTGATGAGTCAGGTAGTGCCAATGTCACTAGACCATGTAATAGATTTGACTGTTTCAGTTTTAAATGGCTGTCGCAATCCTGGAGTGAATGTAGCTCAACCTGTGGGACTCAAGGGATTCGTACACAAACGTTTTCTTGTTCAAAAGTATATTTAAACAAAACAATGGAAGATGTAGATTCTTCGTTTTGCAGTAATATGTCTTATCCTGTTATAACCGAAGACTGTAACAGAGTTCCCTGCGAATCTAAGGTGTATAGCTGGATCATGGTGCCACAGTGGACAGAGTGTTCAGTATCTTGTGGAGGAGGTACCCAATCCGCACTTTTCAAGTGCTTTGAAGTTTATAAGAACAATACAACGATACCAGCGGCTGACGAACATCTCTGTAGTCATATTCATAAGGCTCATTATGAGAGACCTTGTTCATTAGGCCCTTGTGAACATTATCAGTGGAGTGAGGCATTCGATTGGACTGCTTGCTCTACCTCCTGTGGTGAAGATGGTGTTCAACGAAAAATACATGTGTGTGAAAAGGTATCAGCAGATGGCTCAGTCATTCCAACTTCTTCATCTTTCTGCAAAAATTTACCAGATATATCTGAAACGCGTTCTTGTAATAGAATACCCTGTGTTTCTTGGAGATACAGAATTACTCAATCTCCGTACCTTTCCGAGTGTTCAGAGACATGTGGGAGTAAAGGCATTCAGTATTACCAATATTCCTGCGAAAAAGAATTTTTAAATAACGGTACAGCTGTGGAAGATGATATGGAGCATTGTAGAAATATTTTATTTCCTAACACTACATATCCCTGCAACAGAGTACCTTGCCCCCGAGAATGGGTCACCGACAGCTGGGGTCGGGTAGGTGCATCAATATAACATTTATTATCCATCACTCACTTTGGGTATAATGATAGCGTTGTCCTCTTTGAAAATCAAAATCTCCAATAGTTATGAAACTTTTGTTCCATTACCGAATTTATTTATGTCCTTAGATAGAAACACATTTGCTAGATTCAAATTAAAAATTATTGTCGACAAAGGAAGACCCCTGTATGATATATCATTGTTTAGTTAGATATTTCAGAGTAGGTTGTTACGTTAGATTAGATTTCCCATATCATACCCTTAGCGTGACAAGCTTGGTGCAAAATATGGAACACAGTTGCAAAATATTTCAAGGAAAACAAACAAAGGGAACATTATCAGATCAGGTTTACATGAGTTAAACAAACAGTAAACAAACGCGACGTCACTGTTAAACAAACTGTAAAAAAAGCAACGTCACTCTGAATTAATGTTTTAAATGGTTCTAAAAAAAGTTACTGCTTCCAAAGACAACCCGGACAAAGTAAATATCACGTCCATTAAACGGGACAGTGGTTAAATTCTTATAAACATTGTCAACCGTTGTACTAATTAATTAAGAAATTAAACATGTTTACTGTTTGTAAGGGAACAAAGACGATTTGATATTGGCAATATGTACATTGATGTACATCACAGTAGGAGACGAGTGGAAAGATAGTAACGTTTGGAGAATTATTGTAGGATAATTTCCCCCTACATACAAAACTTACCTCGCAGTTAAAGATGCAAGAATATCAAAGAGAATTCTATCTCCCACAAAGAAACGAAACATACATTAATTTTGTGAAATTATAAAATGGAAGGCATAAATATTGTTGGAAAAAGGGAATTTTTGAAAAAAAAAATTTCTTACATTATTTCATTTGTCTGTGTATTAAAATATTCATTTTATCAATCTTTTACCAAGATTACCTACACGATGTCATAATCACACTGCTCCGATTTATTAAAATAAACAAACAAAACGAACATATAAATTAAACTTTCAAACACTTGTAAACAAAAACCACCAGTGCTATTAAAATGATCGTTTTTACAAATCGGTGAAAATCGAATACAGCACTGATATTCTGCATCTGGAGAAAAATGATGCGACGACAAGAATGAATGACAAATCACCAATTTGATTCAATCGGAAGCATATACTTTCAAAATTTTCCCTTTTCATGTAAAAATTAGTATATGTGTATATCATATTGAAGTAATTTACACTAAGTGTGGATTATGATAGTCAGGAAAGAATAGAAAATATGGTTCTAAGGAAGATTCTGGCAAGGAAATTGAACAATATAACTTTCTTTTAAAACTTGTGTCCTCCTTGTTTTTTTTTTTTTTTTTTTTTTTTTTTTTTGAAGTGTTCCGTTTCCTGTGGTGTGGGAGTGCAGACGAGATACATATTCTGTGGGTCGATCGAGGAAAATCTTAACCCATCCGAGTGTCCAGGCACCCGTCCAGTTACCACTAAAGTTTGCAGTCAGCCGGAGTGTCGCAATGGTACGTCATGTAATGATTGAACCAATAGAAACAGAATTGAGTGTGTACGTCATGTAATGAATGAACCAATAAAAACATATTATAATAATTGAGTGTGAAGGTCACGTAATGAATGAAACATTGGAAACAGAATTGAGTGTGCACGTAAAATAATGAATGAACCAATGGAAACAATTCAATTTTTTCAATTTTATTCACTCAAAAACCATGTAAATGGTACATGAGGTACATAAACATATAAAACATATATACATATAATACAATACAGTGGGTCAAGCAAAAGGTGAGATTAATTCAGCTAGCTAGGGAGAACAGACCATACTATTAATCTTAGTAATAAATATACGTATTTTTTTCAAAGAATCAACATCATTTTGGCACATAACTTCACAAAACTTCATAGTGTTTGGCTTAGAACAAAAGTTTTGGTTCAAAAAAATTTTTCTCGGTTGGTTTAAAGCATTACATTCTAAAATATAATGATATTCATCTCCTATCTGATTACTATCACATAAGCTACAAAATCTTTCATTTCTTTGAGTACCATTCCATCTACCCATTTCAATTGGAAGATGGTGGTTTGTGGTTATAAATTTAACTAAAGTTTTTCTAAATTTACATGATAACAGTGTTAAATATTTTTCGCACTCAAAATTGGTTTTAAAAATTCTATAATTTAAACTTTTTGAAGATTCCTGAACTTCACTATCCCACTTTTGAATATACTGATCTTTTAATCTTTGTTTGACTGTAGCAGTTATCCATTCTACATTATAGAAATATTGCTCATACCATATATTTGATAAACCACATCTGTCAAAAATATTTTGTACAAATGAAATCCAAGAGTTTGTCATTTCTCCTTTATCATATTGTTTACGTAAATACATATATACAATTCTACACAATTTGTTTTCTTTTCCATACACAAGTTTTGCCCAGTATTTTACCAATCTTGAGTAAGTATTTATATATAATGGAAACCGTCCAGTTTCTCCATAAATCATATAACTTGGAGTAGTACTTTTTAAATTCAATATATGTTTCAGAAAACGTAAATATACTCGTTCAATAATATCAATATTTTCATAACCCCATATTTCACAGCCATATAACAATACTGGTAAAACTACTTTATCAAACAGATCCAATTGACATTCGAAGGGTAGATTAAATTGTCTAATTTTACGTATCACACTATAGATTGCCTTTTGTGCTTGTTCACATAGGTGTTTTCTTGCTTTACATAATGAGCCTGTTCAAGAAAATACAATTCCCAAATAATTAAAATCTTTGACTACTTCTATGACACTGTCATGATATGTAAAATTATTTTTTGGTTGTCTACCCTTTGAGAAAATAAGTATCTTTGTTTGCTTAATATTCACACACAACCTCCAATTTTCACAATATACTGTATGTAAAATTCATTTAATGCTCTTTGAAGATCGTCAGCAGTTTCCTCAAGTATTACAGTATCGTCGGCATAAAATAAAATAAACAATTTCATAAACAGAAGTGAGTGTGCACGTCATGTAATGGACGAACCAATGGAAACGGAAGTGAGTGTGTAGTCATGTAATGGATGATCCAATCGAGAGAAAAAATATAGAGTAATTTAAAACTCTGATCCAGTGTAAAACAGTTTTTTTTATATCTATTTCATAAGTAACATTTAAACAGCAATTTATTTTTAGTCATCTTTAATTGCGGTTCTGCGTCATGAATGCCCTTGGCAACTCTGCTTGGTGAAACTCATAAGTTTTGCATGATATTTGTTTCAAAGAGTTAAGATGTTATGAAAATATACATGTTTAAAAATTGATTAATATGGCTCCTCTGGGAACTATTTCTTAAATGAGTTCGACATTTAAAAGCAGTTGCATTATGAATACAAATAAACCATTCTGACTGAGTAAATAAAAATAATATTTATTAGAAAGTATCCTATTTATTCTCTATAAATAAATTGTCAAAAATGGGGAATAATGCTACGTGTCATTTGCCACCTCTGCCGTAAAGTTGAAGCCAACACATAATCTCTTTTTTAATCTGAGAAAATGATGTAAATTATATATATATATATATATATATATATATATATATATATATATATATATATATATATATATATATATATATATATATATATATATATATATATATATATATATTCGCCATCATATTAATGAAAAATTTCACTGTATGTTTAAAACACAATTATTAACTAAGATTTAGAGGATTCATTCCAAAAATGACTTTCTATTTAACACCTTTTAATTGTATTTAGATATAGTTAGTGTAAATACCCCCCCCCCCCCATGAAATTCAGGTTTCAATCAATTTTCAAAGGCAAGTATGTGGTTAATTATCCAGTGGTATAGGGTAAAATGAGTATATGGTAAATAATCCAGTTGTGTAGGGTAAAATGAATATATGGTAAATAATTCAGTGAAATTGAGTAAAGTAATATGTGGTTAATAATCCAGTGGTGTAGGGTAAAGTGAGTATGTGGATAATACTCCAGTGGTGTAGGGTAAAGTGAGTATGTGGTTAATACTCCAGTGGTGTAGGGTAAAGTGAGTATGTGGATAATACTCCAGTGGTGTAGGGTAAAGTGAGTATGTGGTTAATAATCCAGTGGTATAGGGTAAAGTGAGTATGTGTTTAATAATCCAGTGGTGTAGGGTAAAGTGAGTATGTGTTTAATAATCCAGTGGTGTAGGGTAAAGTTAGTATGTGGTTAATAATTCAGTGGTGTAGGGTAAAGTGAGTATGTGAAGCAGAAGTTTTAACTTGTATTTTCTATATTTTCAACTTTACCTTATTATTTGATAAACAAAATGAAGTTTTTATCTTTGTAGAACTTTGTGTGGACAAGATCTCACTTTGCAGTCGAGGCGCCACACGCAATACATGTAGATACAGAGGATATAAATTTATGTGCTGTGCTTCGTGTAGGAGATTCCGAAATTAAAACTGCGGTTGTCGGTCTCAGTAAGTCAATGTCAACTCTCCGGGCAGTGTCCCATACTGTACAGGATTTTATGAGAAGATACTAGATAGTGCACGTCACCATAAAACACTTCAACTTCAATATCTTAAAGTAATGAAGAGAACAACAGTTGTTTGTATGGATTTATTATTTTCAAATCACGTGCATTAACTTTTATAACAAATATTATTCACTTTAATAGTGCTGATATGAAATAGGTATAAAAATCCAAATTGGATACTTGTACATATACATGCTACAAATACTACATATAGATATAATGATAACGAAGTAAGTTTTAACATTTTAACAAGTGTTCTTACAAGATGGAGAAAATAATTTTAGATTGGATATATAACATTTTTTTGATAATCAACAAACGTTTGTATTTATTGTCATAATATTCCATTTGCAATAAGAAAATTAAGAAATTTGAGACAGAAAAGATTTGTTAAAAAAACTTGAAAATCTTAAAGCATGCAGGAAAAAATAAATGAAGCTAAACAGAGATTTCCTTGATAAGATTTCATAAGGTATTCTGAAGAAAGTGAATGTAAAATTCACATTGCTTTACAATGTCTAATTTTAATTGTTTTCCTTTGGTAAAAATTGAAATTGAAGCTAAAAATGCTTTTTTTTTCGGACAACAGGACTATATACATTTAAATTTCATTATATAAGATCTAGCTCAGAAGTCTCGCTGAAACTCATTAGACTCACCGAAATCATGTATATTTAAAAAAATTGTTTTAGATTTTGGACTAATGTGGATCATACATACGGTAATGCGAGAGTGTAAAAGTGGGCAGTTTGTTTGTTTTGTCATTGTGATAAAAAATATTTGATTTATTGCATGATGAAATAAAGGTGTAAAGGCTTATGATTGTCAATAATAAATTCCTTAATCTTTTGTAAAATAGAGCAAAATATACACTTTTCTACAAACTAAACTATGTGAATATAAATTTATATCGTTATGTAAAAGAGCAGTAAAAAAATCTTCTTCTACGTCTCTACGTAATAATATTGTATGTTAATCTTCGAAGTAGGAGTACTTCCCTCTTCTGTACCTGTGTCGAATATAGTTAACACTAGGAAGTTTTGTCTGTTTCGGGTCCTGTGCTTTGTAAAGCCACACATAGGAAGATGTAAAACACAGGAAAACACAAATCCAGGCCAAATAAAAGGACCAACCAAAGCTGTACGTTCGTGATTCGTTGATTATTTTCTTGTGGGGGATGCGATATCCATGTAATAGTTCTGTTCGTCGTAAAATATAACATTTCCCATGGAAAAGTGCTATTGCGAGAGTAAGCAACATACCTGTAAAATGGATGTTTTAGAAAAAATAAACGTTTAATTTGTAAAGGATACTCGGAATATAAAAATGGTAGCCATTGGTCTACAAAACAACAACTTTTAGTACTGACATTCAATATTTTCACAGCTTTCTGCGAGATTTATTCTCAGTGACCTTGAATTATTAAATAACCCTGGATTCAATTTTTACTGTATATCTGTCAGTGATGCATTATTTATTTCCAATTGTGCCGTATGACAAACTTATTTCTCAATGAATTTGACGGATATGATTAATCATTCAGAAATCATTCCTTTGAACGATTATTGGCCAAATGCAAACTTGATTCTTAATTAGGTTGTCCGGGGATATTTAAGCATCCTCAGAGAATAGCATGGCCGAACAAATGTGAATAATGCATGATCAAAAGTTAATACATGGGTAAAGGGCTTCCCAGGGGAAATGAGTAAGATTAAAACGTTTTCATACCAGATATTAACGAGCAACACGATGCCCAAACAAGAACTCTTGTATGGTGACCAAATAGACCATAAGCACCTGTAATCAGGCCGGCTACCATAGACACCATGCATAATAGAGCAAATGCGCAGGCTGCACGCTCCAAATCTGGAAAATAAAGTCATCATATTGTAAAGAATTTTCACCATTTGGAAAAGGAGTTTTTATACATTTAGTAAATGAAACATCATTGCGATAATCAATAATCAGCAAACATTAAATTAGATATCTTAAAATAACATAGCAAAAGTATCTTTAGAAAAAAGTTTCTCTTTTAATCATTTTAGGGTCATTTTTTATATTGAAGAGACAGATTTCACACGTAAAACATATGTGTCAAATCCGATACTTTCTTCTAAATGCATTTTTGGAAGTTATTTCTTACAGTTCAAAGAGCATGTAACATTCATTTAAAATCAATAATTGGTTTCCTAATCAACTAAATTGCAGTCCTTTGATCTAATCATTAATTATGGAATCAGACGTTTGCGATCGTAATATTATAATTAACTTTGATGTGATTAAATGATTCCTAGCTCTCTGATTGTGGAAATCATAAAAGTTATATTCAACTGCTCTTGACCCTCCCAGTGATTATAACTTTTGAACTGGACCAAGAACGGATTGGTGTTTTCCACATGTATACGATCAATTATATTTATTTTTGTCATTTAATAAAATCCTGCATCTGTTAAAAGTTTGCAATTTTGTATCATTTATCACTGATTCATATAATAAAACAATTAATGCTGTTTTTGTGTCGTGGCGATGATTCACCTTGCCCCTAGGGCTAAGTGCATATTGTACTCTTTGATAGCTAAATCATTTTGTTATATCTTGAAAAATTGTTTCCTATATAAACCTTCTATACTATATAAACCTATACTTTAAAAAAGTCTAACATTTCCAGTGTTTTACTGAGCGGTCCAAAACAATCAATGACGGTCCTCTGGATGAGTGTTTGACCTATCCATGAGATATTGAACCGATAATTCATCTTCTCAAGGACCTTTAGACTACAAATTGTCTGATTTTTGCATCTTCTTATAGTGTAAATTCAGATGTAGCTATAGACTGGAAAATCTTTTGCAATGTGAATTTTTACTAAATACTTGCTTTTAGAAGAAAGAATTTAGTCTATAGAAAACATGATATTCACTTTAGAAGGTCATTTTTGGTCTGTGTTCAATCTTGAAAAGACAAAACGAAAGTAAAATAAAATTGATATTTTACTATATTTGACTTTTTCCTTTTAAAGAACTTAAAGAAAGGATATAAACACATCTGAAATGCAAAAAAAAAAAAAAAAAAAAAAAAAAAAAAACAAACAAACAAACAAACAAAAAAAGCAAACAAACAAACAAACAAAAAAACCAAAACAAAACAAAACAAAAACAAAAACAAAAAATATGAAGGTAAGACAGTTTCTTATAATTTTTACAGGCATCAATTCAGTTCTAAATAAATAAAATAGATAATTGATCCAATTATAATAATTACAACGAAAAGAAGTCATTTCATCTTCGACTTTGGATCTTTAAAAAAAAGTGTGACACTCCTGACAGTGGAAATATGGATCCGAAACACAGACAGATCTTAAAATAATTGATAGATTTTATGGATGTTTAAAGTATACAAGGGTCATTCAAAAAATTCGTAGAATTTTGTCATAACATTTTTATTTAACGTAATATTATAGCCAAAAACATTATAACCAAATTTGGTAGACATACTTTAACAATATATCCAAGTAATTTGAATTTAAAAATTGTAACTATATCATGATAAATATCCAAATTTATTAAAATTAAAAAAAACTGCAAAAATAGGGTTACGGAGGACTGTCAAAATTGAGTAATTTTCTAATTTACAGTTAATTACGTACCTATGGTTTTTTTCTCTAACAAATGGCGCTTCAAAGAAATAAAATTTAAAAGTTAAAATATACTTTTGTTTTATTGCAAATTGTATCTTGAAGAGCGATATTGTCTACGTATTTTTTGAATGACCCTCGTATATTGGTGAAAATTTGTACAAGCTTTGAAGCAAATGATCGATTGTTGCACTCTTGATATAAATACTATAGTATAGATACTCGACTCACTGAAATGTTGCTCGTAATTAAGAAATATTCAAAGCTTTTAAATGGTATATCACATTCATTGTTTAACATTTTGGGTTCTTTTTGTGACTTCATTGTTTTACATCTTTTTAAAATTACAATAGTGTTTTTGGCACCATTACATATTTTCTGTTGCACCCCTGACATGATAAAGCATTTTTACCAGCACCAGCTATTGACCATAATTTTAGTAAAACAAAGTATCTTCAGTCTAAATTTAAAGCTCAATATATTGAATTTAGTGCTTATTTCCAACATGAACTGTTACTAGTATTATTTATTTAACATATCTTCAAAATGATAGGAATTTTTCAAAATGTCACAGAAAGGTGTTTCACGCCTGACGTTTTTAGCATAATTTTTTGCCAATTAAGATATCACAGAGATATTTGGCAGGATATTTTACCAATGGCAAAAGACACATGGTAAGGCATAAAAAATTATTCACGTGGTCTGTATTTTTAATGCAGGTTTTTTATTCACTTGTTAATTATTTGTCCGGTCATTTCTTTTTTTTTTATTCACCAATAATATATTTTTAGGAAATTTACAAACAAAACACTGACAATTTTTAAAAATTAAATATATGGTTTTACAACTTCACTGTAATAAACAAAACATGTTCTAATGTGATTTATGCTTTATAATTCTTTTTTTTTAAGTCTAAAACTGTCATGGTCAGGAGTGCAACAAAAAATGCTAACATTATCAAAATTATCAACGATCTCCTATATACATAAGTACAAAATTCAGTGAGTAGAACGTTTCTAGTTTAAGTCCTTTCGTACCAGTATATCTCTAATGAATTAAAATGTACTTCTTCTCATGAATTAAAATGTCCTATAAAATATACCTTTATCTTCTCATTTACTGTAGTTAGTTTTATTACATTAATATAGATTAATGCATAATATCAAGCAATGCTAAAATAATTTTATGTTTTTTAACACAAAAAATTTAGACTAAAACTATTGCAACATTTAGTTGCAATCTGAATTGCTAAAATTATGAATTTATGTGTTTAATGTTTTTTTTATCATACTGCAGTCAGGAATGCAACAATTTTTTTTTATTATATATATTGTTGCTTTCATTCTATCTCTATCTATTCGACTCGATATACTAGTATCCCAGTGACTTTAAAAAAATACTACAGATTCTGTCACACCTGTTTTAAACTTGGATGTTTTACTTAATATATAGACGATAATGGTCAATTAACTATGTATCAAAAATTTTACAGCCAGTTTTTATACATGTAAAAGATGAAGATAATGATCAGTGATCAATCTCATAAATCCAGTAAGCAAAACTAATCATGAACAGGAGGAGTACCTTTCTCCTGTTGACCGGCCACACCGCCGTGAGCCTATGTATTGATCAGGTATATAAAGTACTCCTTAGTCAAATTTAATTAAAAAAAGCAATGACCTAACAAATGTTATGAAACATATCAAAGAACGACCTTAGGAGAGGTTGTATTTACAAATAGGTCATTATAACAACCTTTGAATTTGTGAAAAGCTACCTTAAGGAAGTTGATTAAGTCCTTGTAACTTAAACTTATTTGTCAGTAGCTTGTCTCGGTTTAAAAATTGATCGTTTTTCGGGCATGCTTTTACGGATCGAATCGTTTGTAACACAGTTTAGTTGTTAGTAGGCAATTATCGTCTGTAAAATATCCAAATATGAAATAGGTGTGGCAGATTGTAGTGTTTTTTCGAGTTCAATGGCTATATCGAGTTGACATATGAATGAAAGTAATTATTTTTAATTTATAAAAAGTTGTCGATGAAATATGGAGATAACAAACAAGCTCAAAAGTCCCTTGAAACAATAGAAACCGGGAGCTTCGCAAACACTGACCTCGAAAAACATCAAGTGGGATCAGATACTATGGAGGAGTAAGCATCCCCTGTTGACTGGTCACACCCGCTGTGTGCTCCTAGGCATGATCGGACCAACGAAAAAATCCGTAGACAATTCAGTGTGTAAATAATGACCTTAATTTGTATGAAAAGCGTCAGTCAGCATTCGACCTAATGATAGATTGCTTTTGCTTACAAGGTCATTGTATCGACCATAGAACTTGCCAAATGTTGACTTAAAACGAGATGTTTATATTTTTATTTCATTAACTTGATTTTCAATAGCTTGCCTCCTATATATATATATATATATATATATATATATATATATATATATATATATATATATATATATATATATATATATATATATATAAATGTCAAGCTGAAGGCCACAACCAGCAAGTGTTTTCTTCTTGTCATGTAGAAGTTTTTCAAAAAATGCTATCTCACAGGTTGGGTAATAAAGGAGCAGAATAAGTGTCCATCGGAATTCCAGCTGATTGTTGGAAGACCTTGTCTCCAAAGACTACATAGGGAATTTCAATGAATAACTCTGGAAAAGTTTTAATATGAATTTCAGAGTACCTGTTTTTGTCACTTAACATTTTTTAAACCAAGTTATATATATTTGATTTTTTATTACTTGAAATGTTTTTAAATGTATTACATATGCATACAATAATATTCCTAAAACAAGAAAATACGATTGTATTTGCTAACAGGATTACTGTATTAACCATAGAATATGCAAAACATTGACTTGAATCGAGATTGTTGATATCCCTGTATCATCACCTTATTTGTCTGTAGCTTGTCTCGTTTAGAAATGTCTGTACGTAGAGCATTCTTTCGTGTATCGAATTCCATATACAGAATATTAAGGTGTACTGCTACATAAATAAGCGAAGTTGACGATAGAAATCTGAGGTCATCACCTTTATCATTAAGTTCTTAGTTTGCCATTAATGTTTTTTTAAATATCCAAACATGTACAATATGATGTTTTGATTAATAAAATGTTCGAGCAAACTGAATTTTTTTCCGAAACAAAAATCAATTTGCCCCTCATAATTTTTTAATTCACACCTTTGATTTTTTTATGTTTACGGGAAATTATCTCAGAGAACTCTATATTTATTAATACATGTAAAGTGTCAGCTGTATGTATTAAGTGAAACATCCATGTGGATGTGCATGCACTTAAGTCTATCGAGGGACGAATTAAAGTGTAATTTAACTGATCTCCTTTAAATTTTAAAATATTATTTTAAAACAAACAATACACTTTTCCTTATGTTATTCTTATTTTAGATATAAATAATATTTTATCTGAATGAACAATAATAACGTTGATCTACACCAATTCACTCAATATATTAACAAGTTCTTTAAAAATACTTACGTTTTACGACAATGAGTTCTGTGACGTCACTAGCCGCCTCGATTTCCCTACCACTGAGGTACTCGCACCTATCTACCCTTTTCTGTACCAGGTAAAGCCGCTGTCTGACACCCTCTGTAAAAAGAAAAACTATGTTGAAAAAAACTGCAAATGTATTTTGTTTCAATCAGACTGCAATGCTGCCTTTAACGGTACGAGTATATGTATTATAAATTACCTGGAATATCTTTTTATCATAATAAAAGGAAACTCACAAAAAATTAAACAAAAATAAAAAAAAAATCAACAAAAGATACTTTCAAATCATGTAATTTGTTTCCTAGGAAGAAAAGACTGGGATATTCCAGCGTGCGAAAGAATCACATTAAGGACATACGCAACGTACCTTACCTACTGATAATTTTTCGAGATATTCTTAATTTAAGATAACAGTACCATCAGATGTTCGTAGACGAAAAATTAGCATGTGTTACCAGGGGTTTTGAAAAGATATCAATTGATGAAAATTCTTGTATGATTCAAAGAAAAATATACAAAAATTACTAAACATATATTCTAAATGTTTTGTTTATCCAAACTTGTTTTAGAAGAAGTGTACAATAGCATATATTGACAATAAAATGTAGGACACAGTTCCTTTAAGTAATGGAACTCTTCAACTCCAGGGAAAAATACAATAAAGTTCAAACTACGTTGCGTATGTCCTTAAATTGTAAACAAATGAAAAATGCCACACCATATTTGCAAACTCTTTTCTCAAAGTAAATAGGTTCTACAGTTAAGATTAAATTATTGGTGAGAGAATGTATTGCGACAACACAAGAAGGAGAATGACACATCAGTCATCGCTAGACAAAATATTTCTCCATCAGCAAAAAGAAAGGTACATCACGAAAACAAGTCAAACTGTTAGCTTTATAAATACTATCACTCATTTCTTATGTTTTACAGCAAAATCAGAAAACATTGCATCTTAGAGAGTATACAGAAAAAATGAAATACGGTCAGCAAGAACATTTTTATTGGTCTACAGCACAGACAAATGTACCTATCATGAATTTTACGTGAAACTATAGCTAGTGTGAGCACTGAGTTCACTAAATGATACCGGGCCTCCCATTTAAGTATACTGGCAAAGTGAATTTTTTGCGGTATGTAATTGTGATTCTATTAAAGTTCCACTGAATTTCATTTCATGGGTTTAGAAGGTGATGCTTTAACAAAATTAGTACTCCCTTTATCGTCTATAATTGCAAAGTCTTTCCGATTAAAACGTAAAATAGGAGGTGCAAAACGACACTATAGAATAAAGATTCTGTGAAAATTTCATTACATTGCATTCAGTAGTGTAAGAGGAGTTACAGATAAGAGATGGTTACCACAAATGTTAAAGAATGGCAAAGCCCATGTTTTGCAATGGGAAGCCCCAAATATCTTTCCGGTCGAAACGTAAAATAGAAGGTGCAAAATGACGCTACTTCATAAAGATTATGTGGAAATTTCATCTTGCACTCAGTAGTGTAAGAGGAGTTGCGGATAAAGGATGGCTACCATCAAAAGTAACGGACACCCCATCACCATATACCCCATTTTTCAAGCGGGATGTATAAGAAAATTTATATACTTGAAATTCAAGTAATCACAGATGAGTTTTTTTAAAATAATTATTCCATGTGAATATCAGTGAAAATAAAACTGGAAGTGGAATTTGTTTTAGTAAGTTAACTGAATCAGTTGGCAATATCTTGACAATTTAGTAAAAGAAATTACCGGTTATTATTATTTGTCATTAGATACCATCCTATTAGTCCCCTACCGGTGAAACCGGAGGGGACTAAAGGTTTACTCTGAGTCTGTCCGTCCGTCTAGCTGTCCGTCTGTCCCTCTGTCAGTCTGTCCCAATTGGTTTTCCGCACTTTGTTTCTAAACGCTTGCAGATATTGAGCTGATTTTTTGTACGTAAGTGTATCTTGATGAGCTACAGATCAAGTTTGTATCTCGTTCCGCTTCATTGATTTTTGACGGAATTACGGCCTTTTCAACTTTTAGGGGTTTTCCGTAATTTTCTTCTAAACGCTTTCGGATATTGAGCTGATTTTTGATATGTGACTTTACCTTGATCAGTTATAGATCAAGTTTGCATTTCGTCCCGCTTCATTGATTTTTGACGGAATTATGGCATTTTCAATTCTTAACGGGAATCAGATTACACTTGCTAGTAGGGGACTAGTATTGTCAATGCAATACTCTCAGAATGCTTGTTTTCTTAAGAAGTAGCCATATGCAACAACCTTGACCTATGTAATCTGTTGGGATTCTCTCAGCTATAAGTAAAGCCAATAGATTGGATTGTTTACAGAAGTAAATTAAATTGGTATGGCAATAAATAACATTATAATTCTTTAAAAATATGATTACACAAGTCTTTGTCGTCGCATATGGCTGTATTTGCTCGCACATTTTCCTTTAATATTTTTGATAGAATTTATTAACGATTTTCACTAAAGACATGTATATTCCCAAAGCTCTTGTTTTTGGTGAACCTTTCATTTCATGGGAGGGGTCCAATTTTTCACAATGTGGTTTAATTTACAAAGTCGGTAAATGAAAATAAACCAAATCTTGTAATTGAAACAATCTTATATCTAGGAGTAACTAACCTGTTTGGGTGTACAATCTTCAAGTCACATGGAGTATTTGGCCAATATATATGCATCCTGAAACTCTCCAGGTGTATGGGAGACAATAGATTATAAATACCCTTCAAGAAGTGCTATTTTTACATATCAGAAAATTAATCAAAACGCTGTAAACCCTAAAGATCCCCTGTCTTCATATTTAGAAATAAAGTCACAGAATTAGCATTCAATAAGTAGCTGTCGATAAATTTGCTTAAGTCATTCAATTATTTATTTACAACCAAGTTATCTAAAAATCCTAATGCGAGACTCGAGAGCTATCAAAACATTAATCAGATAGGTCAGTGAATTCTGGGATTGACTTTCTGTAAAAATAAAGCCGAATTATTGCTAAATAAAGACACTGTATCGTTATCGGATAGTGTTAGGACTCTTCCCAGTACTAAGTAATTGAATATCAGGGGATATGTTACGTAATTCTGATAAGATCTGACGTGTTTTTTCAACGATGAATGATAAATGTTTGTTTTCAGTTACGCTTGATCTACCTTACTAAAGCCGTATGCATTGGAAAAACTAGTTTGTAAGACGGATTACAAATGAAAGAAACGGATATTGCATGAGCAAAACAGCATTTTGAGTATGATTAGCTCATTCTTAAACGAGCTTAAATGGACGGAATATTCACATTATAAAATCAAGGGGAAAGTCGCTCATCTGATACTGTTTAAGGGTCTTTTTCACTGCCAATTTCACACTTGCAAACAATTTTACCTTGTTTTAAATTCAACCAGACACCGATTCTTTTAAAGCAATAGTTCTATCTTCTTTGAATTCAGGCCATTTAAATTCAACCGCTTGCGACGAGGGCAAAAGGGGCTAAAATAAAACAGGGGCGAAAATTTTCCCGTATACAGTACAATTATATCCAATAAAATTATAACTCATACATTTAAAAAAAAGCTAAAAATGATAATTGATGATTGTAATTATTCTATGCCTATACATTTCTACAATATTCTTTTTGACCCTCTGTCCTATATATTGTATATTTCAGGCAGTATACATGGACGACGTTAACGGTAGTGACATCGATACTTCTTCCCTCTGTTTACGTTTACACCAAGACCTGATTACCCTCGTGAATTTGTGATATTGTGTGGCTCGTAAGACTATCTTTTATTCGCAAATAAAAGTTCATATGACGCATTCCTGGCAGCGAATATTTCATACATTTTGAAAGATGATATAATTATTTTTCCATAATCGATACAGTGTCTAGCACCCTTGCCAAAACGGTAAAAGTGCAGCTAGACCACCAAAAATTATTATCATAATATTTAGATAGTGCTCGGATAGCCTTCATGGAGAAGAGATCGTAAACAATCTAATCAACTACCATTCCAAACATTTACTCTTTATCTAATTTCTATTCTCTACTCCAAAACGTGGTCTCGCAAGTCATATAAAATTGTTACCATTTAAAAAGCATCCAATTGGTCCAAAAATGATGTGTTTTTTTTCAAAACACCTAAGAAAAAATCGAAACGAAATAAAAGGAAACCTATAAAAAATAATTCAAACAAAGCTATAAGGATGAGGAAAAACCGAACATTGTTGAAAAAAGCGAAACAAAAATAAATAAAACAAGCAAACAAAGAACTCCTCGACGAATGTTGCTATCTTGCAGATGCACGTGCTTTAACTGACTTATTTCTTTCATTTGGTCATTCTTGATATACATATTTAGAGTTTTAAGAAAGTATATTTTTATCAAGTTCAAAAAGGGTGTCAATTTCTTACTTTGCAATCACACTAATGTAGGTTGGTTAATTTATTATCAAAATGATTATCAAATATCATTGATTGTCTAACACAGAGCTATTAGATGACATTTCTTCATGTTCTGTCGAGGGAATTATGCTAAATTTACTCTTATTACATTAACGGCTTAAATAAACGTACAAATCGCATGATCAATTTCTACAACAGGTCGAACTAATGGAAGCTGAACCCAGGGCTGTAGATGGTATCGACGCTCTTTACCGTACAAATTGGAATGGGGGGAAAGTAAATGGACCTATTCCTGATAGTTTTGAATAGGATCTTCAAATGTTATCTTCCGCTCTGTTTTATGTACTTTTGTGTTTCACAGAGTTCAAGGATTGAAGAACTAAAATTAAAAAATCAACTTTATTGAAACATGAACAATATATATTATGAGCATTATATATGATAGATGCTCAATCAGAAAAAAAAACTATGTTTCAATTTTCAATATTATTTTAGAACAAAAATTTTATTTAAGTTGAAAACATTGATAAGGGTTTTCATAACTTAAATTGTTAACACCATGCAAAACGAAAAAGATGAGCTCGTAATCCATAAAAATCCTAATTGTCCCATATAATATCTAACGTAAGAAATGCTTCAAATTTTGTTTGTACTTTTTTTTAAAAAATATACATTAAGTCA